GACCCAAGTGGGAAACCGAGGCAGGCTTGAAACCCCCCCCCCAGCACCCCCAAAGCTCCTTGCTTGGCGATATTTTGACCCGTCTTCCCATCCATTGCAGGAGCCAAGCGGTCTTTGTGGAAATGACCCAGTATCATCCTGTTCTGGACCTCCATGCTGCCGTCACGCTCCGCCTGGAGTTCCCCGTGGCAAAACACGCCGTGCCAGCTGTGACCGTCACTCCCTTCCCGCTGCACCCCCTTGGCAGGAGGGTTACCCCGCAGCTGCTCATGATGGTCAGTCCCAAAGTTCTCCCTGCTCCTCCTTCCTTGTACAAGGCAGATGGTTGGTGCTGCTCCAAACCGGGGCCAGGCCTGGCAAAGGACCTTATGGACCCCTGCATAAAAACGGAGGAGGACTGAGTATCAGGAGGTTGACAAAATGGAGGCCATTTTCTTCACTGTCTGAATACTTTCCAGAGAACGACCCCCTGGGAACCCCATATTAAAACAACATACCTTTTGTGCTGCCAGCGTTTGAAAACAACATTTAATACGGCCCAGTACTTGAGTAAAATGGTTCAGCCGAGATCTGCAGATGTGGGACTGATTGGGGTAGATTGTAGGGGTGATACTGAAATATAATCTTATTTCTATACATCAAATTGTTGTATTTTACTCCAATGTCATTTTAAATTGTTTTTGTAGGATTTTATTAATCATTTGTACTTGGAATTCTGCATTTTGATAGGACCCATCGGCTAATCCATGAACTTAACTTTCCAGAGAGTCCGTGTTGCTACTCAGGGTGCAGCCAAGGGACTCACCTAGGAAGTGACAGAAGGTGTTGGAGGGACTCACCCAGGTTTGGCCACCTCCACCTCTCCTGGGAGCTCACCTGTCCCCTTTCTCCTCCCCACCCAGGTCTTCCTTATGATCCTGGTGGTCTATTTCGTGGTCTCGGAGTCTCTGGCCATCAAGAAGGAAGGCAAGGCCTACTTCGCCCTCCTCAGCAGCTATGGCCAGTGGCTGCTTATCCTGGCTTCCACCTGCACGGTGGTGGTCCACCTCAGCCAGGCCACTCTCGCTGAGCGGCAGTGGGCGAAATACCTGAAGAACAAGCGGGCCTTCACCAGCTTCTACCCGGTGGCCTCTCTCCACGTGGCCTTCAGTTGCCTGGCTGCTTCCCTGCTCTTCCTGCTGACAGTCAAGGTAGGGACAGGCATCCCTCAGGAGGCCGATGGAATCACTGTTAGGAAGGCTTCGGAAGACATGAAGGAGCAGATTTGTGGATGAGACAAGGAGCTAGAGCTTCCTCAGTGGATTAAATTGCCTCTCCTTTAGGATTTTGGGCAACCTGGGCGCCTTTTCTCTTCTCACTGTCCTAGAGTTGCTTTGGGAATGATTGGCAAGATAATATTGTTTGTGATGCGTAAGAATACAAAATAACAGTTGGAAGGGACCCTGGAAGGGCTTCTAGTCTATCCAACCCCCTGCTCAAACAGGAGACACCCTACACCAAGGGTGTCAAACTGGCGGACTACTAGCCGGATACATCACATGCAGGCCACCCAACTCCTCGAATGGGGAAAATACCGTGAAACGTCATGCGACGGCAACATGACGCCGTGAGTTTGACGCTCGTGCCCTATAGACCTATAATCTATGGCACGCATGCCACAGGTGGCACGCAGAGCCATTTTTGCGGGCACGTGAGCCCCAGTCAAACTTGCCTCACTGCGCATGCACGCACCTCCCAGCTGATTTTCGCCTGTTTGAGGCCTTTTTTTGGCCTCCCAGAGACTCGAGGAAAGCCTCTGCAGCCTTAGGAGGCCGAAAAACTGCCCCGTTTCATCACTGCCTGTATTTCCGGAAATACTGGAAGTGACAAAACAGGCCTGGTTTTTTTGGCCTCCAAAAGCTGCAGCGGCTTCTCTCAAGTCTCTGAGAGGCCAAAAAAGCCCTCAAACAGGCTGAAAATCAGCTGGGAGGCAGTGCAGGTAAGGGGGCGGCAGGGGGGATCGTGCACGCATGCGCAGGGGGCGCAGCCCCTCCTCTGCGCGCATTGCCTTCTGGATGCTGGTGCGTGAGCAGGCGTGCAGTTTTTGGCACAGGAGCCCAAAAAGGTTAGCCACCACTGCCCATTACCATCTACGTGGTGGCACAGTGGTTGAAATGCAGTACTACAGGCTAACTCACTGCTTACTCCTGGAGTTCAACCTTGATTGGCTAAATGTTGACCCAGCTTTCCATCCGTCAGTTAAAGGAGGACTCAGATTGTAGGGGGGGGGGCAATGGGCTAAGCTAGCGGGGTGACATGATAGCGGTATTTCAATATTTGGAACAGAAGTCACACCAGAGCAGGCCTCTCCGATCCCCCCGCCCTCCGAGAAGGTCTTCTTAGCCCTTGCTAAGCAAGGCTCCCTCCCTTCTTCCCAAAGGCTTCCCAGCAACTGCGCTTCATCCGACAATGGTCCACGTTCGGCAAAGCTTTGCAGAAATCGTCCAGGGAGCTGTTGGGCACCGGTTTGGCCTTTGCGATCCTGGCGTTGGCTTACACACAGCTCGGCTACCTGGTAATGGAGGAAACCCTGAAATGGGGAGGGGTGGGCTAAGGCAACATTGTCAGTAACTGGGGGGAGAGGAGAGAGGGGGGCCTTTCCTCTAAGTTGCCCTGGGGGGAGCCCCTTCTCCTGGTTTGACCCCTGACTCCGGCCAGGAGCCTTTTTTTAAAACACCCTTAGCAAAAACGCTTGCCTTCCGGCCATCTGGAGGGGAAATCAACAGAGTCACTTTTCTAGACGTGGTTTCTTCAAGGTAGCTTTCCCAAGGGAGAGTTTGGGACACTTTCCCAGGGCGGGAGGTGATCCCTCCCCCAGGCTCCCGGGTTCGGTTTCGGCAGTTTTATTTTTGGTGAATCAAGCTTGTTCTTAAATCTGTAAACAGAGATAAAAATCAACATTTTTTTTAAGGCTATGAAGCCCATTTATCTGGTTTTAAGAGAAATTCGAGCTCTCTAGTCCATCTTTGAAATATCCCAGAAATGCTGGCTTTAAAAATCATATTCTGCCGCCATGCATAGAGATGCGTTCCAGCACCGGTTTTATTTCCATGGTGGATTCCAAAGGATGTTTTGTTCATTGACTCCCAGGTCTTGGGGGGGGGGGGGGGG